ATAATATTCTGAATCTCAGATTTATCTTCAAACCCCATGGAAGATTCAAAAACCCAGAATAAAAATCCTAATCTTTACATAGATCTTCAAACAAACTCTCAACATGTTGGAAAATAAATAAAAAGCAAATTTATATTTAGAAGTGGATTTTGGTTCTCCTTTTGAGGGTCCAAAGTTGTTCTCTACGGAGCCCGTGAGGGGACACGGGGGATTTATTTTTTATTTTGCATTACCTCACAAATGCTTGCATTCCCTCGCAATATTGTTTTGCATTCCCATGCAAACGTTTGGTTTTTATGAACTGAATTAAATTAGACTTTTATTTTGAAATATCCAGTTACCTAAAAAGTATGTGTCGCCACAAGTTCATGACAATTGAAATTGCGTGGCTGCGTTGTGTTAAAATATAGGCATACTTCCATGTGTGACATATTCATTTTGAAGCTGAATTAAAGTAGTAGGCTAACTTGCTAAAGGTAAACCTATGAATTTGTTATTAAACCAGCAGGCACAACAGTGAAAAATGACTTTTGCGAGGGAACGCAAAAAGTATTGCAAGGTAATGTAACACTATTGTGTGGGAACGCAAATGAAAAAAAATATCCCCCATGTCCCCTCAGTTTGTGCTTTATATTTCTCTGACAAACTTGTTTTACTGCCATAATATTTAAGTTTTTTTGTATACAGTAAATATGAAGACATAGCAACCATCAACCATAAATGTTTCCTGAATGTGAAGCTGTAAGCTGTCTCCACCAAACAACTCCAGCCTTTAAYCTGATGCAGCAGCTGTTCAGTGAATATGTGGCAGCAAAACTGTGCACCTGCCTCASACCAGCTTAAAAACACATTCAAGTACAATTAACTGATACAAAGTACATAACTTTACAGACTTTCTTATATTAAAGCRTAATACATTGTGGTATTTTCTCTTATTTCAGCTGAAAGATGTGACGCAGGACAGTAAAAAGTCAGTTTCATACCATGAGGGTTTCTTTTGGATGTGCTATTATGGTGGCAAYGATGAAAACCTGGCATGGGCACATGGCTTTGGTGAGTGAGATGCAAGTTTTTTGTTTAGTACTGCTTTATGTTAAACATATCATCTGAATTAGTAAATACACTGCATTATTCTTCAAAAAGTAAAGAATTTAAAGGCTTCAAATATCTACATCTGCAAGACTTACAGTAYAGGTCAAATAGACAAAGTGTTAGTTCAGATTTTTTTAAAGTGGAGTGATGGGGAAAGATTATCAATAATAAACATCTTACCTGTTGCAGATAGCTTTTTGAATGACCTCAGTTTGGAGAAATAGAGTTTAATTCTGACTGGGCTGATGAACTATCACTTAGTTGGAGTGGAACTAAGACCAAAGTGGACACATTTCTTCTCAAAACAAACAGCTTTTCTATTGACTTACAATTCTATTTACTTAATATTGCCATCAATTTCATATTTTCTAGCTGTAGGCCTTTCTGGTGCAGCCTGAGTCACTTCCTGCAGGAATGTTACATTATTTCTAACTAAGTAAGGCACAACTGATGGCAATGTAAAGGTCCACAAAAACAGTTTTGCTTAAAATCCCTGTCAAAGCCTGAAATTGGAGTTGTTTTGAGATAACAGCAGTCCACTGTTATCTTGTCCCCACTTGGGTTAGTTGTTACTCTTAAACTAAGTCATTTAAAGAGCTAACAACATTGAACAGGTACAATATTTAATATGCTTAGCTTTCCTAGAACCACACTTCCTCTGTTCCTCTAAAAAAACAAGTTGAAATATTTATGTTATAATTCTATTAAAATGAAAAATCACAACACATCAAACTAATACAACTTTTATCATGCGCAAGCATGGTTATTTTATCCTTAAAAAACAAATTTTAGGACACTAACACACATGGCAGCTCTTTTAATAATTGGCTGCTGTTCTGTYTGTTAATAGAAATAAAACAGCCACACACCCACCCCACCCTTCCCACTCCTCCCAACTCTCATGTGACTGTTTCAACCAAAGAGCATCATGTGATGTTATTTTGGTCCTCTGTCAGCTGTTTGTGTGTCATCTAATATTTTTTTTATTCTGCTGTGACTTTTGAATGGTAAACTCTTGTCAAGAACAGCCTGCAGAAATGAAAGGGACTTGTGGGAGAGGRTTGGGGAATTTCACATTTTAGGAAATAAGAGGGAAAGGAGTGGAGAGGATGTAAAAATACAGTTTTTACAAGGATTAACGTTTATGTACATTATTAAGAGGTCCAAAAGTGGAAATTTGAAGAATAACGTTCCTGCTTTTGTAGTAGACCACCCTTATGTGACACAGATGGGCAAGCCTTCAGCTGATCACTGTTATCAACCATGAACTGATCACTAACCCASCAGAGGAGATTATGAGAACATGCAGAGTTAGGAGTCCTGCTGGCCACAAAACTGGACTGTACCAGGCCCGGACGCCACTCCAGGATGGACCCAATGTACCCTTAATCAGGTGTTTCAGGCTTGTTGCTTCCTTCTGTASCTATAATTTTTTTTGAAACAGTTTCAGCCAATGAGTGAAGAAGCATATTGAAGATAACAAGTTGAGTCGGATGCTGAAGAGAAGTGAATCACTGTGCCTTTGTTTGTGCTCACCGTAAATACATTTTCCCTTTTCCATACRTAAAGGAGGTTTCTGTAATGTTCTCCTTCAAACATATACAGTGATGGTGACAGGAAGGTTTAGAACACCTGAATTTATTTTAGGCTCATTTCTTCTTGTCCTTTAATTTTTAGATTGGCTTGCTCTTGTTCAGGGTACACAACAGTATATATTTTTTTAAAAAATCCCCCGTAATAAAGATTTGCCTGCATTTCCTGAGTTTTGGGGGACTTCTTCTTTACTATTTATTCTGCTGGGGTTTGTATGTGGTACCATAAAATACACAAGCTGAGATAAACCTAAGGTTTGTAGTTGCCCCCCCAACCCGCCTTCACCTTATCGGAGAAGAGCTTTATGGCCTGAGAGTTCTGCAACATCCAAGGAGTCATCTGGATGTTCCTTGGCTGATGCACTGGTGAAAGGCAGCTTTTCCACCTCTTCACATTCAGGCAGTTTTTAAGTCAAAATCCTATCAACAATCCATATCCATCACAGACCTTAGCAGGTCTGTGATGCTTGCGAGCTGCCTCTGGACAAAGGCTGAAGTGGACCTTGGACCTCAGACCTCTTGGAAATGTCTGGATCAATGGAGGATAGAGGATAACTGCACTCTAAAAAGTTGCAATTATTTAATGGTCTGGGGTTGTTGGGCTTCTTGCACAAATTATAAATGCTTCCTCAATTTAAAGTATTGCCTTCTACTTAATATTGGAATTTCTTCATCTATGGTATTGAAATACATACTTTCTTTTATTTGCAGCAACCCGGCCTGACTTACAAACCTGCGTGCCTGCCTATCTCCACTCGTACCCTCAGGTAACAAGTAATGAGACCGACAGTACCACTGATTACGCACCTGCCACCAGTAAGTATTTAATCATACTTTGTTTAAATTTGTTCTAAATGATAAAGTGGTTCTGTATAGTTGGTTAACAACTCTGCTGTGCAGTCTACAGAGGCTTYTGGAGCGTCTTCATGCTCATCAGTGTGGCGTCTGTGACTTTCGGTGGGTTTCTCATCATCTGTGCTGCTCCGTTTGCAAGCCACTGCTTGTATAAAGCTGGAGGTGGCCTTTTCCTGATATCAGGTGAGTTTATTCTTGTGGTAAAAAAACAAGAATATGTGCTTCAAAAACAAAACCCAGAGCATTTAATATTTTATATAGACAGACATAAAAATAACATTGTCTTTGCCAGGTTCTAGATTTATACAGTAATAAAAACACGTTAACAGGAATGTTCTCTGGAAACTTGACTGCTAATTTCAAACCTACCAAAGAAGTATTTGTAGCTGTTTAATTTAAAATATAAYTGAGAAACCTGTTCCCTCTTTTTCCACCCCCAGGTTTTTTCCTGCTGTGTTGTGTGGTGTTGTTCRTCTTGTGGTTCCAGCTGTCCGATGTGATCGACGTCTACGTGAAGAACCACGCTTCACAGTGTCCAGACTTCCAAGTGACCCTAAGCTATGGTTTATCCTTCATGTTTGCTCCCATTGGCRTCTTCTTCTCCCTCATGGCCGGCCTTCTTTTCCTTCTTATCGGTCGGACTATCAAGAACAACTGAGGGAAAAAAGCATAAAAAGCCTCTTATTTTCAGAGTTTCTGCCACCTGTACACAAGACTCAGTAGATTATAGCACAGTTCTTTGGTCTCAGTAAGAACATCATTATCAAAGCATGCAGAGTAACTTTTAGATATTTTGTATAAATGCAAATTCTGAGTGTCCAAGTTTTGGTTTGTGACATTCATAATATAAAAATAGTTAAAAATATGTMAAATAAAACACAAATTTGAGCAATTGATATAAATTTATGTTTYACATAGGAGTCTTTTGTAACCTCGTTATTTTTATGTGATTTTCTGCTCCAATTTGTTTTTTGATCTAAAGGTTTGTAATTCTTGTTGAAGACCTGAAATAACCTTTTTCTTTTATCAGAAGTTGTGTTGGGAGTTAAGAGTTTTGGAGCATGAAAAACATTTTAAAAATTGCTCTCTTTTTTCATAAACACAAAAATAAACTTGGTCAGCTGCCTTTTTCTACATTAAACTAAAGAAATATATCGTTTTCATACAGTTAGGTTCATGTATATTTGGACAGTGACAACAGTTTTCTAATTTTGGTTTTAGACATTACCACAATAAATTTTAAACAAAACAATTGAAGTTCAGACTTTCAGCTTTAATTCAGTGGGTTGAACAAAATGATTACATAAAAATATGAGGAACTAAAGTGTTTTTTAAACACAATCCCTTCATTTCAGAGGCTCAAAAGTAATTGGACAGATTAAATTATTGTAAATAAAATGTTCATTTCTWGTACTTGGTTGAAAAGCCTTTGTTGACAATGACTGCCTGAAGTCTTGAACTCATGGACATCACCAGACGCTGTGTTTCCTCCTTTTTATTACTCTACCAGGCCTTCACTGCAGAGGTTTTCAGTTTCTGTTTGTTTGTGGGCCTTTCTGTCTGAAGTTTAGCCTTTAACTAATGAAATGCTCAACTGGGTTGAGATCAGGTGACTGACTTGGCCATTCAAGAATATTCCACGTCTTTGCTTTAATAAACTCCTGGGTTGCTTTGGTTTTATGTTTTGGGTCTTTGTCCATCGGTAGTATGAAATGTCGACCAATGAGTTTGGCTGAATTTGTCTGATCTGAGCACACAGTTTGGCTCTGAATACCTCAGAATTCATTCGGCTGCTTCTGTCCTGTGTCACATCATCAATAAACACTAGTGACCCAGTGCCACTGATGTGGTGCTTTGGATCATGAGCTGTACCACGCCTTCACCATACTTTTCTCTTTCCATCATTCTGGTAGAGGTTGATCTTGGTTGCATCTGTCCAAAGAATGTTCTTCCAGAACTGTGCTGTATTTTTTAGATGTTTTTTTTAAAACAAAGTCCAGTCTAGCCTTTTTATTCTTGAGTCTTATGAGTGTCTTGCAGCGTGCAGTGAACCCTCTGTATTTACTTTCATGCAGTCTTGTCTTTATGGTAGATTTGGATATTGATACTTCTACCTCCTGGAGAGTGTTGTTCACTTGGTTGGCTGTTGTGAAGGGCTTTCTCTTCACCATGGAGATTATTCTGCCATCATCCACCACTGTTGTCTTCTGTTGGCGCCCAGGTCTTTTTGCATYGATGAGTTCAGCAGTGCTTTCTTTCTTTCTCAGGATGTACCAGCTGTAGATTTTGCCACTCCTAATATTGTAGCAATTTCACAGATGGGTTTTTTTCTGTTTTTGCAGCTTAAGGACGGCTTGTTTCACCTGCATGGAGAGCTCCTTTGACCGCATGTTTACTTCACAGCAAAACCTTCCAAATGCAAGCAGCACACCTCAAATCAACTCCAGATCTTTTATCTGCTTAATTGAGAATGACATAATGAAGGGATTGCCCACACCTGTCCATGAAATAGCTTTGGAGTCAATTGTCCAATTACTTGTGGTCCCTTTAAAAACAGGGTGGCACATGTTAAGGAGCTGAAACTCCTAAACCCTTCATCCACTTTTAATGTGGATACCCTCAATGAAAGCTGAATGTCTGGACTTTATGTCCATGTACATTATATAACTGTATCTTGAATATGTTTCAGTAAACAAGTAAAAATACAAATTTTGTGTCAGTGTCCAAATGTATATGGATCTAACTGTACAGTGGTTTGCAAAAGTATTCATACCCCTTGAACTTTTCCATATTTTGTCACATTACAACCACAAACATAAATATATTTCACTGGAATTTAATGTGAAAGACCAACACAAAGTGGTATACAATTGTGAAGTGGAAGCAAAATTTTACATGAATCAAAACATTTTTTACAAATAAAAAACTGAAAAGTGCGATGTGCAAAATTATTCAGCCCCCCTGAGTCAATACTTTGTGGAGCCACCTTTTGCTGCAATTACAGCTACAAGTCTTTTAGGGTATGTCTCCACCAGCTTTGCACATCTAGTGACTGCAATTCTTGCCCATTCCTCCTTGCAAAACAGCTCAAGCTCAGTCAGATTGGATGGAGAGCGTTTGTGAACAGCAGTTTTGAGATCTTGCCACAAATTCTCAATTGGGTTTAGGTCTGGACTTTGACTGGGCCATTCTAACACATGAATATTCTTTTTTTTAAACCACTCCATTGTAGCTTTGGCTTTATGTTTAGGGTCGTTGTCCTGCTGGAAGGTGAACCTCCGCCCTAGTCTCAAATCTTTTGCTGACTCCAACAGGTTTTCTTCCAAGATTGCCCTGTATTTGGCTCCATCCATCTTCCCATCAACTTTGACCAACTTCCCGGTCCCTGCTGAAGAGAAGCACCCCCAGAGCATGATGCTGCCACCACCATATTTGACAGTGGGGATGGTGTTTTCAGAGTGATGTGCAGTGTTCTTTCTCCGCCACACATAGCGTTTTGCATTGTGGCCAAAAAGTTCAATTTTGGTCTCGTCTGACCAAAGCACCTTCTTCCACATGTTTGCTGTGTCCTCAACATGGCTTCTGGCAAACTGCAAACGGGACTTCTTATGGTTTTCTTTTAACAATGGCTTTCTCCTTGCCACTCTTCCATAAAGACCWCATTTGTGTAGTGCACGACTAATTGTTGTCCTGTGGACAGTTTCCCCCACCTGAGCTGTGGCTCTCTGCATTTCATCCAGAGTCACCATGGGCCTCTTGGCTGCCTCTCTGATCAGTGATCTCCTTGTTCGGCCTGTAAGTTTAGGTGGACGGCCTTGTCTTGGCAGGTTTATTGTGGTGCCATACTCTTTCCATTTCCGGATGATGGATTGAACAGTGCTCCGTGAGATGTTCAAAGCTTGGGAAATCTTTTTATAACCTAAGCCTGCTTTAAACTTCTCCAAAACCATATTCCTAACCTGTCTGGTGTGTTCTTTGGACTTCATGATGCTGTTTGCTCCCCAATATTCTCTTAACCAACATCTGAGGCCGTCACGGAGCAGCTGTATTTGTACTGAGATTAGATTACACACAGGTGGACCCTTTTGAGTCATTAGCAGTCATCAGGCAACTTCTGAATGCAATTGGTTGCACTCAGGGAAAAGGGGGCTGAATACTTTTGCACGTCGCACTTTTCAGTTTTTTATTTGTAAAAAATGTTTTGATTCATGTAAAATTTTGCTTCCACTTCACAATTGTATACCACTTTGTGTTGGTCTTYCAYATTAAATTCCAGTGAAATATATTTATGTTTGTGGTTGTAATGTGACAAAATATGGAAAAGTTCAAGGGGTATGAATACTTTTGCAAACCACTGTATATGATATTATACTGTATTTATTGGCATGTAGGAACTCATTTCAGCTTGGTTTTAGATTATTTTCTCACACAAGTGATTCATGTGCCTGACACTTTTCACGAGCTTTCGTATTCATATACATAACTATTAAGAAGCATAAATTGCAGCAGTCAGGCTTAAAACCAGATGTATGAACTTATCGTTTGGATATTTTGAAGTGGGGTTCTGCATTAAGATTATTAATAATAAACATCTTACCTGTTGTAGATAGCTTTTTGAGTGATCTTGTTTTATATAAAAAATGTTTAATTTTGATTGAAATGGCAAGCTAACAGTTATTAGGGCCAAGAGTGAAGACTAAACCTATTGCCATCAGTTTTACTCAACAKTTATTACTACTATTAACCATTGCAAGCTAAAATAAATGTAAAACTAACAATTGTTTAAAAGTTTATAAATAGCATTTGCAGGAATTGCCATGAAATTGTTTGAGGATGGGAATGTTTTAAGACAGTAGTAACTTTGGTCTTCATTCTGATCTGATCATTAGCTCATCAAACAGAAATAAACTATTTCTTCAAGCTGAGTTAAGTTTAAATTGCTTATAACCTTTTAAACAAATCCCATTTCAAAAGATCTGAACTAATGTTTTAAATTTTAATGCTTTTAGAGCTCTGCTAAGACTTTCAGCTGCTTTACGATTTTTTAAAGAGTTAGTTCATTGCTAGTTTTGTATTTTGAGTTAACCCTGCTTAATAACATTAGACCTTTCCGTGGCGTGCTGAAGTTGCACATGGAAATGTTTCATTTCCCAGCTGTTTCTGTGTGATCAAATAATGGGTGAAGCACAGGTTGGTTTCTGAACAGAGCAACATTTTTATGTTTATACATTTTTGGTATAAGTCCATTAACTCTTTGAGTGTATTGTGATGTAAAAAACGTTTGTCAAAGGCATGTGTCTTTTTTCTGTGTTCTGTTTGGCATTAAAATATTAAAACGAAAAGGCTAAAAGGTTTTTAATCAAGATAGGTGTATTTATTTTCATATAAAAAAATTTAAAATGCAAAAAGAAATACCTTATTATTTTGTGTTGAGCTACGACAATTGCGTTTAAACTAATTAGACCCATATTATGTTGAGTAATGATGGAGTTCTGGCTTTTTTGATTAAACCTTGAAAATGATGTTTTGCTCATTTATTATTACAAGATGTTTCAATTTAAATATGTGTTATTAATGGTTCTTGGCTACAACCACATTCAATTTTACACAAATATCTGTAAAACTGACTGAGCTATAAACATTTGGATTATGTACATTAGCTGTGAAAGCCGCCTTGAATTGAAGCAACTGCAAAAGTTAGTCAGCCAAAGATATCCRTCTATTCATTAATCTCTGAGGGTTCTATTAAAACCCATCCAATGATTTAAGGGATATTTTACTAGCAGACAGAGTTAATTCTAACAGGTAATGCTAAACTTTTAAACAAAGGTCTCATACAACGAGTCTCCCTTGAACTGTGTGTTGTGATTTAATGTTGGCTGATGATGCCAAATTATAGCACATCTCTAAAATTTATTGAACTGTAGCTTTTTTCTACCACGATCGGTTGGCTATGATAGTTGTCTTGAATTCAGTTAGCTCCAAAAGGTAATAATTTATAGATGTACATCCAATAATTATTTCTTGAAAGTTTCATTAAAATCTGTTAAGTGGTTCAGTAGATATTTTGCTAACAGACGAGCCCTAAAATAACTTCCTTTTATCATCTTCTGATAAAGTGTAAAACTAAAAGCTCATAATTTTTAGAGATATAATTAAAGGTATTATATCATGCTTTTAAATCCTTCTTTTTCACGTCTAAATCATTCACTTATGGTCTATTTAAAATAAAACTGCCAACGCTTTGGTCTTAATTCCTCGTTTTTTTTGCTCCACAGACTCCTTGCTTTACCCCTGTTCTGAGTTGCGTCTCAGAGCAAGCTGTTTTGGTGCGGTCTCTTTAAATACAAATGAGATATTTCACACCCCGCCCCCTCCAGGTCGCTGCGCATTCGACTCCACCCCGTTCGGCCATATTTGTAGTTTCATAGCAAAAACAGTTATCTACCGACTAAAAACTGTTTTTAAGATAAAATATGATAAGATAAAACTTTATTGATCCCACAGTCTGTAAATTTGCACATTACTGCAGCTTAATACAAGAGAGGCTGAGAAGAATAATGAAAGATTAATAAAAGATAACAAACAAAACACCACAATATACACGTAATATATAGTAATGTCCCATTGCACATATACACAAACACATATGCTTATTTATATACATATATACACCGTAAAGTACAGTACAAAAATGAACGTATTTGAAGGTGCATATTAGAGATGGCAGATGGCAAGAAAGTATAAGGATGHCAACAACGGTAGACTTGTCAATCCAGCCTTACATGTAYGAGCCAGAGTCTGACCCAGTGCAAGACACTCAGAATGACAAACCTGCAGAACCACGTCTTCAAACGRATGTGTCACAATGGTGCGTTATTTATTTACACACTCTATGTCCTTACCTACACTGGGGAGCATACTGTAGCTAAACTGAAATACATACATATGAACTACTATTATCTTATATAATTTACTTTTGTGATCAATAAAGTATTTTTAATTGAACAACTACAATACACTCACACTCACTGTACAGATGTGAAATTATTTTAAATAAATTGATTTTTGTGCTTGATTGTCAATGTTAAGGGATAAAACAAGTACCACAAGATGGCAGTGCTGTTTTATTTCCTTTACTCCTCCTTCTTCACCCTGAGAGGCTGAAATCCCATTTTGCTTATCTGGAGCCAGTGTGGAGTGTACGTGGCGTTATGCATTTAATCACAACTTCAGAGCTGCGATCGGTAGATGAAAGAATTCACACCTTGGCTGACAGACGGATGGTAATTTCACTCATGAATGGAGCATTTGATCAGGATCTGAATGTACTCCTGTGTTGATTCTCATGTGTCTGCATCAACTCTGCGCCTTTCAAGGTTTCTAATGTACTTATCGTACGCTGGGAAAATGGATCTGCAGTTTGCCTCAGAATGCAGGGGAGGGGACTGACACAATGCGAGGCGCTGATTATTCCGCGAGGCTGACTCTGCCCTGCACAAAAGACCCTAATGAAGGAGATTTCACACTCCCAAATTTGTGAAATTTCAAATTACCGCCTCCACATTGTGCCACATCCTCTCCAGCACGGCCATATGAGAACCCACTGTGGTGAATTCACTGCAGGTCACGAGCGAGAAGCCTTTCAGGTGGGCAAACGCTCATAAATTGTGAGATAAGCTCACAGGATTTGTCCTGTTTGACGTTGGAGCCAAGTTTCACCCAGTGGGGGGGG